GTCTTTCTGCTCTTCTAATACCCAGAGACTCCAATATCCCTTAATTACGGAATATTTCTTAAATTATAGTAGGATCCTTAATATGATCTAAGGTATATTCCTTAATTAAGGGATATTGGAGTCCCTGGGTAAGTATCCTGAAGCTCCACCCTGCAACCTCGAGTCTTTCTGCTCTTCGAATACTGAGCCGAGAAGCAAAGCTTTTCGAGCACTGTCTGTGCCGTTCAAGTCCTCTTCGGGGACAACCCTAAACCCTAAACCCTAAACCCTAAACCCTAAACCCTCCCCATCTGTGCCGTTCAAGTCCTCTTCGGGGTCTACGTTGGTGAGCGCACGATCACCTTGTGGGATCGGACCCCGGGACTCCAATATCCCTTAATTAAGGAATATACCTTAAATCATATTAAGGATCCTACTATAATTTAAGGAATATTCCTTAATTAAGGAATATTGGAGTCTCTGGGGAATTTGGGTAGTTCTCCAAAGTAGGGGCCCTTTTTAGGCCCCCAATGTAGTGCGGCAGCCTTGCATCAAGGAACCTAACAGGAACCCTAATCTAGGGAACTAGAAGCACGTGGAAAACCAAAGCAACCTAGCGGTCTCAATGCTTCGAGTGGGGTTTTGGAGTATATTGTAGTCTATGGCTTAAATAAGAATGGGTGGGCTTTGGGCGATTGCCAAGGGGAGGCCTCTACCCAAATGTAGGCTCTAGGATGAACGCCCTAAGCCCTGAACCCTAAACCCTGAACCCTAAAAGCTAAAACCTAAACCCTAAACCGTTGGACCTGGACCGCCGATCATCATCATAATGTGGTTAGGAGTTGGATTAGGGGGGCCCTTGAGGATATAGACCCTCTCAATAAGGTCCCGTTTAAGAGAGCCTTAAGTAGGGTTAAGAAGGGTCCCCTTTGAGGGGTTTCCCAAATACTACCTAGAAGTTATGGACCTTGAATGAGGTTATGAATACAGCATTGACATTATTTCACATTCACGAAAACTCAGATGGCTTGGGCTGGGCCCCTTGACAAAACAACACCAGTAAGACACCAAAACCTGAAAAGCAACATCGGAACTTAAACGCAGCCTGAACCCTAAACTCAGAACTGAGAAAACCTTGCAACACACAACAACATGTACTATACCGGCACTTAGCACTACCACTACGACTCACTACGACCACGACAACGACTGCAACCCCCTACTACTGCTGCTGCTACCTGCTACAACTGCTACTGCTACTGATACTGCTCCTCCTACCTCCCACTACAACTGCTCCCCCTACTCCAACTCCTACCTCTAATCCTATTCACACTCCTTTCAGTCCGCTTGACATTCTTATTACTCTGGCTATTGCTATTACCACCACCACCACCACCACCACCACCACCACCACCACCACTGCTACGACTTAACCCCCAAAACCTAAGTCCCTAAACTCTAAACCCTGAACCCCAAAACCTGAGTCCCTAAACCCTACACCCTACACCCCCAAACCTAAATCCCTAGACTCTAGTGATCCTCAACCCCAGAACCTAAATCCCTAAATCCCTCACCCCAAAACCTAAATCCCAAGACTCTAATGATCCCCAACCCCAAAACCTAAATCCCTAAACCCCTCACCCCAAAACCTAAATCCCAAGACTCTAAGCTAACTTTTAAACCCCAAAACCTTAGTCCCTAGACTCTAAACCAGAGCAGTGGCAAGCTTCCTGGTACGCCTCGCTGAAGGAAGATCCGGGCTCTAAGTTCCTTCCGTTTAGGGCTTTAGGGGCTTTAGGGGCTTAGGGCTTTAGGGGTTTAGGGTTGAGGTTAAGGGGATTAGGGGTTTAGGGGTTTAGGGGTTTAGAGGTTTAGGGGTTTCGGGTTCAGGGGTTAGGGTTTAGGTTACTCCAACTCCTATCTTGAAATCCTGAAGCCCTTCTGTAAGGCTCAAGCCCTGCAGACCCTAGGAAGCTCCTCCAAACCCCATGCCATAAGCCATAAGCCCCATCACCCAGAGACTCCAATGTCCTTTAATTAAGGAATATACCTTAAATCATATTACGGACCCTACTATGATTTAAGGAATATTCCTTAATCAAGGAATATTGGAGTCTCTGGGCAATTTACAAACAAATATATTTGTTAAACAGTGTGGCACCTTCGGCTTAGGGGTTAAGGCTCAGCGTTTAAATGGGACCCATAGTCCCTAAACCCTAAACCCTAAACCCTAAACCCTAAACCCGAAGGAGCCCAGGACCCCAAAACCCCCAAACCCCAAACTCTAAAACCTTACATCCGTCCTTGCGCAGCAGGACGCGAAGAAATCGTCGGGAGCCCAGAGGGATTTAGGGTTCTGTATAAGGGTTTCACGATGAGGTTTGGGTATGCCCGATTCATAAAAAAGTCTGAGCACCCATGAACTTTCAACCATTCAGGGGCCTCAAGCCCAAATAACCATTGACACTGAACCTTAAAATCAACCCTAGTTACTTAAGTTTCTAGAACACCCAACTCTCGCCTATGGCGCCATAAGCCGACCTTGACTATTACGGATCGTAGCGGCTTTCAGCAGTCACTATACCCATAGGCCCCATAGTAGTTGCTTTTTGGGGTTACCTTATAGCATTCTATATATGAATTGATAAAGGAACTACTTCAGGGTGTATGGGCACAGGCATCGTAAGGTTGGGGGGTCCTGTCTTCTTCTTATCGTTTGAAGGATGTCGAAGCTCTCAGGAAGTCCGCTTGAGGGCGTGGCTGTTCTGCCTAACCCTAAGGGTCCATGTACCCGAATAGTATATACATTGGCCCCAAAGTACCCAAATAGGGACTACTTTAAGGCCAAAGTATCCACTTTTTGGGTACATGGACCCTTAGGGTAAGAACTTTGAATATCGGGCCTCAGTACTCTAGGATCTAGTGAATCTAGTGCAGGATGATGATGGGGGTGGGGCGGGATATGATTTGGGGGACCACGCACCAGGTTGATATCGCGCGCCATGTCACTATCACAACATGTCGGAATGCTCCTATAGCCAAACCGTGGTTGAAGTGCGGAGTTCTGGAGAAAGGCAATGCTCAGGCAGCTAAGGCTCAGCTTGTTGAACACGTAGCTCAGTGTGCCCGACAGCACACCAGTAAGACGATGAATTCGATCGCCTGGTCGGCGTGATATCGCCGCGTACGTCTGGCTTTACGTGCAGCTTGGGTGGACCCTCGCAACCGTATTTCCATGGCAAGGTCATGTTGATGCACCCGTGTAAGGCCGGCACCGGGATACATTGAGGCACCACAAAGCCAGGGATCCAAACTCACGCCCTAAGCAGAGGGATCCTTTCTTCTTTTTATCCTACTACAAGGACCCGAAACACAAAATGAGGTACCCGGAACATTTGCGGAAACTTGCATACTTGACGCACCGACTCATCACACATCTCAGTTCAGAGCCCACAAGCAACCGGTCCTGGGCTTTACGGTATGAGGTTCCAGGGTGCTCTTATTTCTCTCCGGAAATACTTGACAACTTCCGACTGGGCGGCCATTTGTTTGGGAGACTCCGGGGTTGGATTCCCTGTGTGATGTCTGCGAAGGCTTCACAGCCTTAGCAGATTTAGGTTCCCGGGACGTTCCTTCAGGGCTTAAGAATGTTCCCACATTCGAAGAATGAAATTTAAGAAAACGGTGTACCCAAAATCAAGAAGTGCGCCCTGGCCTGTTTGCAACAGGTCCTGCAACAAGGTGATGATGGGAATCTGACCTCCCACCTGGCGGGGCGACAGCACGGAAATGCAAGCATGCCGACGAAAAATGCGTCGGTCGCAAGGCACACTAATTACTAACTCAATAGCACTGCATCGTTGCGAAGGGTTCTAGGACATGGAAAAACATAACTGCCACAGCATCCAGTTCAATCGCGCCGCCCAGAGGAAGCAAAGTAGTTGATGAAGTCAGTGGTGGGATGTAATGCAGGGTTAGCACTCAATTCTTACACGCGTGGAACAGCAAGCATGAGTAACTGTGTGTGAAGCCTGTCACAATAAAGACGAGGAAGCATGAGGAAATGACATCTAACGTAGCCGAGGAGGCTTGCCGTGGTGAAGCACGGACAATGTGATCTGCATGAAGGGCACACCAGAAAGCATGTACTGCTATGCATGGTCAGGCTGTTACAACGATAATCATCACCACAAGAAAAAGAGCCGAAATAGGAGTATGACGATGATGACGATGATGGCGTGGCGGTGGTGGTCGTGGCGGTGGCGGTGGCGGTGGCGATGGCG